TTTTTCAGTGCCTTGTAAAATAATTCATGACTTAATTGTATTTGGAGGAATAACTCCAAAATCTGCAACACAGAAACAGGTACCTATAAAAATTATATACAAAATAAAATTAAAAATAAATAATACAAAAACAGTGAAAACGACTTGTCCACTAGCAGAAGAGATGCAAAAGAAAATGAAACCAACACTTCGCTCCTACCAGAAGACTTTTCTCATTCATCTCTATTATATTTCTGCAAAATTATTAATGTGATGCTTGAAATAGGTTTCTTTCAAAACACGAACTAAACCCTAGGTAATATTAATTGTACATTGAAAACTACCCAATTGATTTGAATGTCACAATTGTAAATTGTTTCCAAGGTATTCACGAATCAATAAAAACAATATAATACATATTTACAGTTTAGTTCAAGTTATTAAGGTTGCCGTCCAATCGAACTTGGCAAACTAATCCACTAGAGGAGTCACCGTTTCAAGTGACAAACAAATCATTATGGAACCCTGTATATCCACTTGAAACCTTTTTATACAAATTGAATATAGTGCCACCATGAGATCACTTGTGGAAATATTGTCAAATGATTTGGTGTGTTGTGAAACAAGAGACAGTTTTTTAGTTTTCAAGGAAAAATTTAAATTTTCCACCAGTTCACATAATTTATTATTTACCTCAAAAATTTTGATGGAAAATTGTAAACATAATGGCCGATGAAAGTGGAAATTTCACATTAAAGTGCTAATGGGAAGTTATACTTTTCAAACTTCAACATTAAAAGGTACGAAAAAGCAAAAGATACTATGCAATTTATTTATCTATGCCAGCAAAAAATTACAAAGTGATTGATTATTGACTCTCATTGAAATAGAGAAGCTTTCAACTTTCGCTGGCATAGAACAATTTCTGTGCCCAAACTTTAAAAAAATTCGTAGTACACAAGTAGTAGTGGGTATGTAGTACTCAAAATTGAAGTCGAAAAAATACCACTTCCTAATGAGATTTCTGAAATAGATGATGTAAAAAATGACTTAAATAGAATGTATGTGAATTGTTTTAAATTTCAAATTTGCAAATTCTCTCTAAAAAATTAGACAAACTTCTTCATTTATTATCACTACATTGAATTGTTTGATAATATTTTCATTAATGGAAACATTGTAGCCATATTGAATTTGTAGTTCCTACGCCCCCATCTTAAATTCAAATGACCGCTTGTGTAAATGCTTCAAAAAGATATACAGATATTCATTTAAATTCTCAACTTCAGTTTATTTCTGGTTGAACTGGAAATGATTTCAAATTGTTTTATTGTTAGAAATATCAGCTCCAAAGACCTTTAATTTTCTTTGAAATTTCAATTTTTTTTTACAAACAACTGAATGGTGCCATGTATGAAGGTTTCGCTGTCACTCAACATATTTTCATTATCATTGACTGTATTTTGGTCATTCATTATCAATACTGCTATGAATGTAATAATAACTACTTTGGATAGAATGACTGTTTTTAAATAAAACAATGAAATTGTGGGTAAAACAATAAAAATCAGAGAATTTGCATAAACTGGATGTACTGCCATTTTACTCAAATATCTCTAATAAAAGAACATAGACAATTGCTTATACTTGAACTTTGAACGATTTTTCATGGTCTTTTTGTGAATATAAGAGAGAAGGCTTGAAACATTTTACTCTTTTCGCAAAAGTAGATTATAAGTAATTTCAGTAATTATTTTTTTTTTAGTAAACGACTTTGTACAAATTTTCCTGATTCATTCTTGGGTACCAGAAATCAGTCTTCACAAAAATGATCATTTGGCAATCAGTTATAATCAAGAAAATTATGAAATTCAAATCAATATTTTAATATATAATTAATAAATAATCCCTAAGCATATTTCAATTAAACAAATGTATAAACAATAAATACACAATATTATAAAAATATAATATACAGCTTTCACTTATGTAGTTTAATTACATCCTGTACGACTGACTATACATAATTATTTTAGTATGTTTGATTTCGGTTGAATGTTTTATTAGACTCAGCGGTCTTCAACTTTTATATTCAAAGGATAAATCACATCCAAGAAATTATAATACAGAACTCAATGAACAGAATCAATTGTTGATTTCAAATTATTGATTCTCTATAATATTAAAAAATAATTCATATATGTCAATTTCTGAATGCAGTAGAAAAAATGAATTATGGACTCTTTGATATCTGAAGAACAAGATAAGAATAAAAATAAATCTATTTGTCCTAAAAAGGTAATAAAAACTAAAAAATTACCAATTCATTTAGACTGATGAAATTGATATTTGTTTATTGATAATGTCAACCAAACTAAATACTTATAGGAATCAAAATAAATCTGAAGACTATATTGAGAAGAGATACATACATATAATAAAATAATTATTTCAAAATAAAATCTCCAAACATTCTACTCTCCCATCGTACCTACATTGGGAGACAATAATGTTTCGAATTAAATCCGACAGACATTTATGCAATATATCTCACAAACGCTAGTTTTGCAGATGTTCCTCGTTCAGTCGAATATATCACCTACAGACCGGTTTCGCGGTATTACCTCTCGTCACTGCAGGAAAGATCCGACCCAAACAGCAATGTGCCTGGGACACGATTAATTTTAACGTAGATCGACTGAGTGGTCATTTGAGGTTATCATCAGAGGTCGTCACTGTTATTAGTTATAATTATTTTTTATTTTCTAAGTGTTTTGTTCAAAAAGTTTCTAAAAGGAAATTTCATATTTGGAATGGACTTGAATTGGAAAGTGCGGGCGTATCTTCACACATAAATTATTGGACTTCACTGTCCTCAAATAACAATTTGAGTATAACTAACAATGGACAACTCTCCTTATGAAGACGCCATTGGGATTGCCAGAAAACTAACATTGGCTAATCAGAATGGACAAAGAACCTTTGTTTATACATCAATGAAAACTTGCATCAAATAATCTCAGAAATTCAACAATAAATATGAATTAGAACTCATCTTTGATTAGTGAAATTGAGAAAAATATTATCAATGTTCAAATATTTTCATTCAAAAAGCTATTCTTCAAATTTCAAAAAGGGTTTTTCAATCATTTTCAAAATCAAGAATTCAGAGATTTAAAAAAACCAATCCCAAATAAAATATACTAACCGGTCAAATTGAAGAATATCACAGTACCAAAGAAATTATAAATCATCTCAATCCAAAAAATTATAATTATTGTCAGCTTCTTCAACATTTGACTAGAATTACCACAATAAATCATCATATTTTTCTCGTCTATTTACATAGAATTCAATCCTTACTCTAGTCACTGGATGCTTTATTATTAGCAACAAAACCTCTTTCGTTGTTAATGTTTTAAAATCAAAGTTTTTATAGTCCCTTATTTTCAAAGGAAACATAAAATGTCTTCAACTAATCATTCCTGAATAAAATCATCTACTGAAATTATACTGAATACCTAATAATTGAATAAGTTCTAATTGATTTATTATAATGAATTCTTGTGGAATGATAATGGAACAAATTTTGATATTTTGATCTCAAGTCGTCTGTCTCAATTGTGAAAAATATAACAAAAAAAGGCAAATTGAAAAACAACTTTTTCACTGACCAATTATTTCACATGAGTTTGGGATGATGATTCTCGTAACCGGGATTATATAGAAGTGAAAGAATATCCAGAGTCTAGTTGCCTTTGAAGACACAGAATCATTTGGTCCACAACCATGGAGGGCTTTTTCAGCTCTGTTTTATTGGCTGACTGGAACTACTGAGCTGTGAACGGTAGACTGTTTCTTTTTGTACTTTAATTTTGGTTCCATCAGATTGTGGCATGTTTGGGGCATGTGGAATGATTTCTGCATTTTTAATAGTTGGATGTCACAATTTATTCAGCTTCAGCTATTTGAAGAGAACGAGATGGTGATCTGCCAAGGGAACCTGAGGATCTGTCTTTTGGACAGTCTGCAATGTTTTTGGTGTAAGTTGAACCAGTATCTGCATTCTATACAGACAGCTATCAGAAGGAGCAAATATAAACAATATGATGATTATGATCACCCTACTTTGATAACGGAAGCTGTGCAGCTATCAAACAAAATAATATTTTTATAGATTGCAGTAGGACACAAATCAGAACTCTGTAAAGTGAGAAATACAAAAGTTCAAACATGAAAACAGAAATGAAGGGCAGATCTTGGGGGACCCTTTGTAGATTGCACACATTTATTTATCTGGACTGTTTGACTTCAATAACAATACTGTGTCTGACTGGATTAGTTACATCAGTCACTGTTTCTCTCAAAGGCAATCTGGGAGGATATTCTTTCTCCTTCACACGATAAGTTTCTGAAATTGGAAACTATTCGAAAAAAACAGGAAGCTATTGATAACTCATTAATTGACAATAGTTGACATTTTGCTCTACCAAATTTCAAATAATGACTTTAGTAAAACTGTTACGGTTATGAAGTTTTGCGATGAATTTCAATAGTTCGGACTTCCATTGTCCGATTTAAAGAAGCCGCATATATGTTGTTCAACAATGCATTTAGCCAAGCTAGCGTAGAGATACGCAACATATGGAAACCTCTAATCAAGCGAAATACGACCAATTTCCGCCAAATGGTCAGCTTCCGATGAAGCGGTAAGAGGGAAGAGGGGATAGGTGAAAGCACTCGAATGACCTATAAATAGTCAGATCTCGGAGGAAGTCCAGTTATCACCTGAAGACGATTGTGGATACTAACAATCGAATCGTCATGAAGTAACTTGGTTTGGAATCTTTTAATTTTCAATTTTCATCTCGTGTCATTAGTTCAATTTATTTTTTTTTTGGTCGTTGCTTGTATTTTATTTTATTGTAATATTAGTTTTTTTGCTTAAAATAATTGTTATTTTTCAGAAAATCTTTTTTAATTTTTTACAGATTCTTTCAGGGATTTCAAATCAAAATAGACAATGGAAGAACGGACTAATGAAATTCACCAGGAAACATTGTCAACCACCTTCAAACAAAAGTTTTTCAATATTTGGTACAATACCAAGTACTTTTGTCCAATTTCTACTAAGTTTATTATTTGTTACGACAGGTAACTAAGTAACTGAGAGTGGTGTAACAAACCTAAACCGGTCATAACAAATAACAAACTTAGTAGAAATTAGACACTATAAATATATTCACTATGAATTTCTAAAAAATAAATAGGTCATCAATCGAACAAGTTAGCTCAATTTCGCTTGAGTTATCCATAACTTTCTGCCTACACTGAATATCAAGAGATTTCATATGATCTTTCAAAACTAATTATATTTGGATAACTAACATTGTTTTAGCTCTTCAGGTGAAAAATATTCATATTATTTCAAAGTAATATCCAACAGGTATAAAAAAACCTGTAACTACATTTTGCCTCAAATATTCAATTAAACTGAATAACCGAACTTAAGACCAAAAAGTGAAATGGCAACTATCTTGAACCAGGAAAGACATAGTTTATTATTAATGACTCAAACAAGGGACAAGCATGATAAACTGTAAAAGCGCAAACTTTATGATTATTGGTGTCATCGAGTGACTATGTTTGAAAGTAAACTAATTATTTTTCACAGCTACTCCTCATTCGTTCGTAATTACGAGGGGCATCAATCAAAGCCCACATTTAGTTAGAATTATATGGTCTTATGTAAAATGAATCTGTAGTGGTGTAAATTCTAGGTTTTGGCTATTACAAGATTTCGCCCTAACTTAACTAGTTGAAAAAGGTATTCTGAAAAATATTTTCATATGATTACAAACTAGATTCTAGGACATGGTACCAGTATGCAATATTGGTCTACTCTGTGAGTTGTGATACGAATATTTTTCAACAATGATATGCAAGAAAATCAATATTTCATCTGTTACTAAAATTTTCTCCACAATGTTATGTGAAATATATTGTAACACATCTCAAAAAGGTAGAATGTTAAAAAAGCATTAGTAATTTATCTATTTCTACATTTATAGTCAATTTCTTTCAATAAACTACATACATTTATACAATTGTCATCTATCAATGTGGGTCTCTTTCAATGGAAGCTGCTTTTGACGCGGCCTGACATTTTTCTTGACGAGGTCTGGAGCACCGGCATTTTCGATATTTTCAGATTTTTGGATTCTGTCGTTCTTTTCTTAGAAACATCTTCCGTGTCATTGTCGAGTTCTGACATAGCTTCTTGGATAGCCTTCTCAAGTTGGTTGTTCAGTTTGCGACTTCTGTAAATGACGATATAACTTTAAAATGTTCTCAATATTTGTGATACATAGCATATATATGGTGGGTTGAAAACGAGTGGGTCAATAAAAAAGATTTTACATCACATCACTTAGTGGCATAAAAAAATAAAAATAAAAATTGATATTTGCATGTACACAGATATACAGTGTCCGCTCAAGAAATAAGGTGAATTTCCATTTTTCTCAAATAGTTATTCAAAATCAAATATTATTTATTCATCCACTTATATTGTCGCAAAACGCCTTCCTTGTATGGGTCTCTTCAATCTCGGCAATAGAGAAAACGTTTGGTGTTATAGGACAAGCATTGTTGCATTTTATACATACATCTTTGAACACTGGCAGATTCCCGAAGGAGCTCAAGACCAGTGTCCTTGTGCCAATTCAGAAAGTCCCTAACACAAATAAATCCTGGGAATTTAGACCAATGAACACTTTGCCTTGTATTGAAAAAATATTAGAACTCGCAGTTTGTAATGAACTCATTGAATATCTAAAAAATAATGATATTTTACTAAAATATCAGTCAGGTTTCAGAAAACATCATTCATGTGAGTCTGCATTACAAGTCACAATGTCAAAATGGAAAGAATCAATATATAAGGGACATTATATCATAGCTGTATTTTTAGATCTTAAAATAGCTTTTGAAACAATTGATCGCCACATATTACTAAATGAACTGCAAAGTATTGGTATCAGGGAAACTGTTTTGTTATGGCTGACTGATTAATTATCACAACGCAAACAGGTAACCATCTCACGTGTCATCATCTCACGATGTCATTTTCGGGGTACCTCAGGGGAGTGTTTTGGGACCTATATTATTTTTAATCTATCTGAATGATATAGATACCATCCATGGTTGTGATTTCATGAACCTTTTTGCAGACGACACTTTGTTATCAATTTCAGAAGATAATATAGAAACAGTAGCTGATCAAATGAATAATGAACTAAGAAATGTTTTCAAGTACATGAATAGCAATAAAATAAAACTCAACACCTCCAAAACAAAATATATGATCTTATCAACTGGTTATAAGTTATCACTCATCAACAATCTCAACATAAGATTAAAAATTGCAGGTGATGTAATAGAGTTCATAAGTGAATTCAAATACTTAGGTTTCATGGTGGATAATCGTTTATCTCTTCATGCTCATTTTGATTATATATATATATATAGAAAAATTACTAAAAAAATATATTTTTTCTCAAGAATTTCATCTCAGCTTTCGATGTAATCAGAAATTTCATTATATAATTGTATAATCCAACCCCATTTTGATTATTGTGCTAGTTTTTTATACTCATTTGACCAAAATAAGGTATCGGCTTTACAAAAGTTACAGAATCGTGGAATGAGGATTATTTTACCAGTGAATAGGTATTCTAGTATATCAAACATGTTAAGTACATTGCAGTGGCTGTCTGTTTTCCAGAGGCTGTACCAGTTAGCAATGATATTCATTTTCAAACTGACACATAACTTGCTTCCAACTAATTTTGAAAAATTCTGTATATATAAATCTCAAATCCATACCCACTTAACAAGAACGAGTAGCTCTCAAAATTCCACCTTTCTCGAACTGATTTGACTAGTGCGATGAAGTCTTTATTTTATAAAGGTTTGAATGAGAATAACAAACTCCCACTTTCGTTGAAAGATTCAATAAATGTTTTCCAATTGAAAAAAATTTCTAGTATATCAAACATGTTAAGTACATTGCAGTGGCTGTCTGTTTCCCAGAGACTGTACGAGTTAGCAATGATATTCATTTTCAAACTAACACCTAACTTGCTTCCAACTTATTTTGAAGAATTCTATATATATAAATCTCAAATCCATAACCACTTAACAAGAGCGAGTAGCTCCCAAAAATTCCACCGTCCTCGAACTAATTTGACTAGTACAATGAAGTCTTTATTTCATAAAGGTTTGAATGAGTATAACAAACTCCCACTTTTATTGAAAGATTCAATAAATGTTTTCCAATTCCAAAAAAAAACTCATGAACTATATAAAATATTTGAATTGAAGGGGTTATATTTTTAGGAGTGATTAATTTTTTGGGAAAGAAAGTTTTTGGCTTTCTACTACTCCATCTGATACAAAAAAAGGGATGAGAGAATCTTCCAAAGAAAGGAAGGAAGTAATCAATTTGAAACTCTATACATGAATGTGTAGATCATGCAAAGAAGTAACTTTCAGACACAAACTGAAAGAAAGTCCTCCTGAAACAGCTACTTTCATATAAACATTGAATTACACGAAAGAAAATATCATACTTGATTTTCTTTTTTCTGTTTGGTAATATATTTATTATGTATATCCTCATGTTGAAACCATTCTGGAATCATTGAAAAATGGTTTTTATTTCTTTTTCTTCTATCATATCATCATTTTTGTTATTTATGTCATTTATTTATGTATTTTTAAAATAATGTATGTATATTAGGATGTCCTAAAGAAATCAATAAATATATTATTATTCATAAGCGGCACATATCTTCAAGATAATACCACTAATCCTAATGCACTACCCCAGGGTAATCGAAAAAACAGTGAGCAAAACCTTGACATTTGGCTCTCCTGGTATCTTCCATTGGGACGATCGGACTTTGATTTCAATGTCATAACCATGTACCCATGATTCGTCGCCAGTTATGACGCTTTCAAGCAAATCTGGATCGCTGTTGACGTCACTTCATGCCAAAAATTTTCGAAAAAGTTGCATGCCACGAGCCAACCCATATGCCGACATCCTTAACAACTTCTCTAATGATGATATGACGATTTTCCATAACAAATTTCTTCACTTTCTCGACCATTCCGTCAATTGTTGATATGCTGGGGTGTCCAGGGCGAGCGTCGTCATTCACATCAAATTTTTTGATACATTTTTTTTCGAAAGCAAAAAAATTCCGAACACGCAAAACACTTCTAACTTTCATGCTTCTCACCAACAAACCTGCTAAATAGCTGAAAATGTGAACATATGTTCAAGACGAGTGTACCAACATAAAAAAAAAATCGCTAATCGAATGTACGTAGCTCCCGAATTTTGAACGCCCACCTTATTTTGTGAACATTCACCTTATTTTTTGAACAATCCACGTACACATTCACCAATTTACATATTCACATATAAAACAATAATATAAAGTGTGGAAATTTTGCTTGCCCAGTCAAGAACACTGAAACTGAAGCAAAAAACAATAAGTGAAACATTACGGCAATCAAAAATATCATTATTTTTCTTGTAAAGTTTCCTCTTTTATCAATTTTCTTACCAGACATAGTTTCAGAATTCGATCTCTTTATTGAAACTGGCAGTCTGTTATAAAAATTAATGGCATTATACAATGGAGATTTTTTAAATGCGAAAGGCCCCCAGAACAGTAGCATGGTAAGGATTCTGACTGTGAATTCTCAAGTTTGTTGTGTACAAGTCAAGGTTCGTATGCACAAAAACGATTAATTTCATTATATATTGTAGTATTGTAGGTGCAGTCAAGGTGCAGTCAACAAGCGTTCTCCTTTTAAAATTGGTCTACAACTTTCTTGGCACCCTAGATTGAATATTAATATTATCAGACGTTTCTGAGAGATATAACTCTAGAAAATTCCCTCGCACATCCCCAAGCCATTGTGTTGAATCTGATGTGGGGGTATGCATTCGCAAAATAAACATTTAGTGAATCAAACATATTGAAACAATGTTTCAACTGTTTGATTGAATAATAAGTCGAATTTAGTTTACTACACACTTTTTGTGTGCCTGAGATTACTACCCCAGGTGAGATTCTCACCTAAAATAATTACCAGAAAATTTACTTCTTTGAATTAATTTCAACAGAAATCCCTCCTAATAAATAATTCCATCAATGCTGCTTGGATTTATTTTAATTTATGAATCTGTCAAAGAAAATTTAGCTCTTTTTGCGACTCATGATAGGAACCAAACACACAAAACAAAAATAACCTTTTGAATATAAAGACACATTTGACCTATCTTCAATAAAATATACCTTTTTCAATCATTAATATATATAACAAGGTACCTGAATCTCTCAGAACTTTGTCTTCTATAATCATGAAGAATAAATTGAAAACTTTGCTTCTCACCAAAGCTTATTATTTGCTGGAAGAATTCTTCAATGATAATTTAAACTGATGTTGTTCGCGTTGAATATTTCATGTCGTATCATTCTGCATTGTGATGTAGTTTAGTCTCTTTTGAACCCTACATATAGATGTATATGTTCGTGTTCTGTATCTAATATAATAATATTACATTTAGTATATTGACTATGATAACCTTGTTATTCATACATCTGTGGCCATTTATATTTTTAACCAATATTAATGATATTGCCTCATTATTTTTCACTACTTCTGTAATTTTTACTGTAATTGACATGTTCTACACCTGAAAAGGTTTTTTATTACAAAGAACTAATAAAGGATATCTATCTATCTATATATCTATCTATCTATCTATCTGTTATATTGACACCAAGTACTAAATTCGTCAATAACTAAATTTATTTCCATCGATAACTCATTCTAGTTTTTCCCAGAAAAGTTGATTGTAGTGTCATCAGCATAGTTATGTGACATCTGATATGAATTCAGACAAGTCATTGAAAATCATAAATAACAATGAACCCAAAATAGTTCCTTGTGGAACACCTAGTTTCACATCATAAGTAACTGATGTAATTCCATTACATTTAACCACTAGACTACGGTTTGCCATGTACGATTCTATCCAACACAACACATTATTGGGAAAGCCCATTACTAGTATTTAAAAAAAATCAGAAAAAACAGTATCGAATGAAAACAGGTTATTATCCACTTGTGCATAAATATACTTTAATAGTTGATAAAATGCATATTTAATTGATTTAATCTTCATAAAACTATGAATATTACTGGAGTTTTTTCCCCAACACCAAATCGTTAATTTTAACACCTAGACACGTGTTTCGATCACCAAGTGATCATCTTCAAAGAGGAAGATTTTAATCTTCCTCTCCTCAAAACACGTGTCGAGGTGTTAAAAATAACGATTTGGTGTTGGAAAAAAACTCCAGTAATATTCATTACTACACCAAAGGTTCCAAACAGTGCATCATAAGTCCATAAACTATGTTGATCACTGCAGAATGTTCAAATATTTCAAAAAATACAACAATGAAATTCTACTCACAAATATATACAGAATTTCGTCAAACTTTTGATAGTGTTGAATTTCTCTACACAATAATATAAGGAATTTTGTCCTCTCCGAACCCTGTTTTTTTAATCCTTTTAATATTTTCGTTTTCAGATCTATTGCTCTTTTATGTTCTCAAATGCACTTGTTCTCATTTTTTGACAAAACTATTCAGCTTAGAATTAGTTTCTCTTTTTCCGTCTCTGTTTTACTTTTTTTCTCGGACCACGTTTTCACCTTTTCCTTCAAAATATTCAAATTTGAAAATTGCATACAATTTGAACTTGGTTTGATCCCCAATTTGAACTCTATCCAAAGACCAGCGCCACTAATAGTTATCTTATAAACATTTAAAAAAACATAATTACCATTAATAATACAATCGACTTTAAGCACGATAAACTATCAATGATTATAGAAAAATTACTTAAAATTTCTGCCTCATGATCAATAATGAAAATGAATCACCAGATACTTCAATTTTGCCAACTGAAATCCTGTGTGAAAAATTGGAACTAAGGAAATTAACGATCCATTTATCCACCAGATAACGCCAAGTTCAAAAATTAAAGATTTTCAATTTTGTATTATGACGAAATAAAAGTTTAATCTGTAATTCAAAAAAAGGTTCTGTTTTATTGGGGGTAATATACTTGTTGAAACCAAAATGTTTCAAAACGGAGAGATATGCATGTTCTTTATTCAAACGATTAATCACCACAATAGAAGCCACTGATACTTGAAAATGAAAATTTTTTCATTGATGTTGAGTGTGGGAATATTAGAAAAAGTGGCTAGAGAAAATCAGTAACTCACGTTCTCAACTTTTTTCGTGCCTGATGGTGGGCATCAAGGCCTTCACTCAGCGTCTGCAACGAATGACAATCGATTTCAGAAACGAACTTTTCTGATCCAAACCATTTTACGCTAACGGATGCATCGTGAAGTTTTATGATTTTGCCAGGCCAAGCCGAACAACCTTTGGCTGGACCCCAGACCAACTCGCCCAAAGTAAACCTCTTCGTTTGAATATTATTCTTCTCTACATCGATAAAATTTCTTTTAGAAACATAACAATGATTCGAATTTTAGAGGAGTTCTGCATTCTTCCTAATAGGTAAATGATTTATCTTGGTATTTTTCAAGCCCTCAAATTGATGTTGAATTAAATATTTTATTCATACTATAGGAGTGAGAAAATTTATTTGATAGGTTGCAAAATTGAAGAGGGATTATTGCCAATAAAAAAGTATAAAAGCAAATGATTCACTACATCGAGTTGGTACTCAATCATTGTTCTACTTAAGGAATAAATGCATATAACCCTCTAAATTATTGTCTCACACCTGCAGAAGTACTTTGAAAGCAGTTTCCCTCAGCAAACACCCACGCAATTTCTGAAAATATGACTTTTTGACAACAGATATGTACAGAGTAGAGCCCGGACACACACCATCAGGTTAATATGGTAATGAATAGTTTTGTGATATTATTATAGCCACACCTTTCAATATTCACCCTTTGATATAACTGACCACTTATGTCTTTGTTGAATATAATTTGTAATAATACTTGTGACAATGTTATTATCAACAATGTCATCTTATTAATAGGATAATGTTAGTTTTTCGTGCATGCATATTCATTAATTTGTTAGTTCTGATAAAATGGTAAGTTATCATTGGGGGAATTAAAGGTTTTCCTCAATATTATAAAAACCAAATACTAAATTCATAACATCTACGCTTTTGAAATTGATATCCTTCATAATTTTACTGTTTTTACAATGCCAGAAACTGTTGTAACAGAGAACACTTAGCGAAAATGGAAATGAAAGTGAAAATGTTGGGAAGGGGGTTAACGGAGACGGAAGTGGATAATAAAGAAAGAGAATTTATCATTAACCATGTTGTTTCATAACCTTTGAAGATACTAAAGGACAAATTGAAAAGTTCATCTAAAAAAGTCACAGTATAATATAAACCATCAGTAAACGGTGGTATTTATAAATTTTGTCTGTAGATGAAATAAACGATTTGATTTTTTTCAAATATCAGCTTTCTTAAAGGGCTAGCGTTACGGAAAGTAATTTCTTTCCATTCCTTAAGCTAAATAATAAGAGTTAGAAAATGCCTCGTTTGAAAATATGTCTATTTACTCTGACAGATCTGGTAATCAGAACTGTAGAGTAAGAACAAATTTGCTGCTTAAAATATGCTTGCCTTTCCAATCGGACTTTGATCCGTTTGAGTAGTGAAGTGGACTGCATAGTCTGCGGCCATGAGATAGCGGAAATTGAAGCATTTCTTTTTGATACAGCTGCCCGAGGGGCCGATGAACTTGGTTTGTTTTTCGATAATGAACCAGTTGATCACAACTTTTTTCACTAAGTTGGAACCACCGTAGTAAAAGGCCCACATAAAAGTCGCAGAAATAACTTTACTTCTATGGCTACACAAGGGTAAGCTGATGCATAAGGTCTTCTTCAACAAGATTGGGGCCTCGGCTCACCAAAGCATATGACCTTTACTTTCCTTAGGCTCAAGTCGAAAACTAAAGGGTTCATCATAGCCTGCATGGATGGTATTCAACACCTTAGTCTACTGTAGATGCATGTATAGGGGTCCCGGACACAAGGTGCAACAACGTTGAAGACCTCGACTTATCAAAGTATAATACCTTTACTTTCCTTAGGCTGAAGTCGGAAACTGAGGGGTTCCTCATGGCCTGCCAGGATGATATCTTCAACATGATGGATATAGTGATATTGGGCACAAGGTGCAGTGCCTGCCGCGAGGCGCCTGAGATCCTAATGCTCTCACTGTCGGTATGTCCAGAATATGTGGTTTCAGCCTATATCAATCGACATAACGTGGCCCTAAGAGTGCTTAATTACCACCTATGGCACAGTATTGACGAGGGTAAATTGAAACGGTTGTGAAGGATGAGAAGTTTTAAAGTTATTGGAACTATTAATTACCCACCTTCAAGCATATTAGAAGCGAATAAGCCTGATGTAGCCTAATAATATGCGGACAGATATTTGTTTTTACTTGATAGCCATTTTTCCAAATATCTTTCTGTAAAAAATTGTTATAAATCTGAAGCCGAAACTTGTGCGAGTTATCGTTTAACGAGGTCTTACGTGCAAAACAAATATTTACATTACAGGTTTTTTTCCCGGTGAATACACATCCATCTTCTAGGAAAAAATGTATGCAATCTTGCAGTGGGCAAGAGAGTGCTTTATAAAAACGAAAGGTGATATTTTTTCAACATAAGAAATTCCTTGGCACTACAGTGAGAAATATATGGAGCTGGCTGAATGAGGTATACCGAAGGTTTTACTTGAAGAAGAGAGAACTTATACCATGGCCTTCTAGAAGCCCTAATCTGGCTCTGATTTTCATGTTTCTATGGGAAAGAATAAAGAACACCTTCGAAGAATCAATTTATCAATTACATAGAGAAAACTACTTTGAAATCTGAAGTTCTGAAAATCAAAGCCACCCTATACTGTTCACATGAAAAAAAGCCCAATTTGGACTTGGGTGAAAAATTTTTGCAGTGAGCTTAAGCAATCCCTTCCATTTACTTTCAAAGAGTTTAGAGATAATGGCAATTATTAGTACACCCATTAGCAGAAGTGAAAGAAAACACCAGAAAAAATGTGTATGCCTTACCTTCTTCATCATCTTCAAACAATGCAGTTTGTCGATGGTGTGCTTCGAGTAACACATGTCCGAGACTCTCGCTGGCCTTCCGCTTATGCATCATCCTCTCGTAGTTTCTTGAACTGATAACAGCGTCCTGGGGCTTCATATGTTCTGAAACGTACTGCAATCCTGACACTAAAGTTGAAGACTCTGCAAAAGCGACATGCGTTGGGGTCGACCTTTTGCCGAAGTGGGTCAAATCCCCGTAATGCTGCTTTGGAGTGGCACCTCCCTGCTGATTTCTTCGCCACTCTATTTCAGTGCTTTGGTTCAGATCGGCAGAGTCGGGTTCACTACTAGAGATGCAGTGTACCATGGCCTGAAGAAAACTGTATGTTGAATTGGCAAAGAATTTTTGTTTTAAATGTACTACCTTGTTCATGAAATAATGAAACAATCAATAATTTCAAATGCATTTAATAGCAGATACAGATTTAAAAAACGACTTACAGAAACAAATTACGCAATAATTAAAATCATACATATGCGAAAAACTATTTACACTAGAATCAGAAAAAAATTTTGAACATTTAATATTTAATCATATAAGTTTTTCTGATCGTCGTGATATAGTTCCTGAAATGAGGGTCTCATACCTCTATCATATACTATCAAACCCACCAGAAAATAAACTGAGGAGACTATAAACAGACCTATAAACTCAGACCTGATAAATTTTGGATTGAGAAATTGGAAAGACCTACAGTTGGCAGCAGGCCGATTATTGAAAGTCATTATTCCTTCATACAATGAATATTTTCTAGTCAGACAGAAATCAAGCAGGTATATTCACGGAATGAAGATCTGGTCCAGTATACACAAACTATAAAAACTTTGAAAAGGCCAAGGAAATCAAGTATCTAGGATCAACATAAAATATCCCCAACTGAACAAAACAACACCCTGAGAAAATCTATGATAGACTCACGGAATAGGTAATGACAGGAGGTCAAACAGACCCAGGTATGCATCAAACTCTATAAGATACTCTTGAAGGGAGTTATACTATAAGAAAGCTTCTCTGTATGCACTTCCGGGGCAGAGATTATGAATGTAGAACCGGAGTCCTGAATAAATTTAGAACTGGAGGTTCCCAAGTCGCCGGGATCGGATGGAATTTATCCAGTTATGCTGCAAAATGGACTGGAATTTTTTCTTCAAAATTGTGTGGGCATGGAAACTGATAGAAGCCTCCTTTATTCCAATACATGGAGAAATTGAAGGGACCTTTGAGAAGGCCTTAGACTAATACATATTACTTAGTGATTAACTCACCACTGCACTAAGATCAATAATGCGTCCAGGTCAGGTATGTCAACAAAAAGCTGCTTTCTTGAGGGCACATTCAATCAAAAGTTCTAAGAATCGAGAAAAGGAGGAATGGACGATACGAGCTGCAGGTAGATATACTGCATATACTTGGAGAAAGAGTGATATACACTACTATTATGGAGGAAGTAGGAATGGTATGGGTAGCAATGGATTCTCCTAGGGGGGTCTTGTCTTCTGTTATGATACCTTGTAACAGACAGTTATCTTCAAGGCGAATATAATATAATTTAGTGAGAGGACATATGAAATAGCTCTGTTATAATAAGATCGACTGAAATTGATCATAATATCTGCAATCATGGAAGAGTTTAGCTTGGCAAAACCATCTGATATACAGATGAGCTAACAACCGAAAATGCAAAGCAAACTCTTCAAAGCAGACCGCAAGATTACATACACATACACATACACTTCCATGTATGTAATCTTACAGTGCACAAAGAATTTCAATTTCAGGCCGCAACAAATGAGTGAATTAATAGAACAAGGCATGAACATTATGCATCTAAAGGACACCTTCCCATTCAGGAAAGATGGAGGGCGGCACAAGTCCGTTGCCAGAACATTCCAGCGAAAACGAAGATTTTACATGTAAATATTGCATGAAAAGAGTCGTGAACAAAGTGAGGTGCATAAAATGTGGAGAGGTCTACCATTCAGCATGCTTAAAACAATCCAGTGAGTTGAAAAAGGCTGAATGTTGACATGAAGTAGAGAAACAGAGTAGCCAAAATGACATGCCAGCTATGACAGAGGAAATAATCCCTAAGGAAGAGAATTACCTTTTGAAGACAATCATCAGTGACAAAGAAACAATCGTCACAGAGATAAAGAATGCATAATTTCGTTGCTACATGATAAAATTGCATCCTTAGAAAATAAATTGAAACAATTCAAATCAAACAACACAGCTTCACAAATAAAAAAAACAGCAAAACAGAAGAAAAACGCAACTCGAAAAAAAGAGGATACCCAAAAAAACTGTAAACAACCAAGAGCCAAATACAGTCAACAAATCAGACAAAAACAATGGCAACCCAGGGTCGTCAGGGAAGCAAGTGAAATACTTCAAATTCAATCAGAAAAGAAAATAAATGAGATAATAAATTTGGCAAAACATGAAGAAGATGGCGATAATGAAGGTTACAAAACAGTGATGAGACGAAAAAGAAAGTATAATGTAGGAAGCGGAGATGGTGATGAAGATTTTCGCGGAAGAGAAAGTATAGCTTTTCCTATCAAGAGTCCCCGATTGAGTTACAGGATACATATAAACAAATACATAAAAGAGCGGGCAAACTCAGAAAGCATATCTGTCAAAAAATTAGCTACACAAACTATGAAAAAAGACTTGATTTGAAAGACAAAATTTACAATCCAGCGTTTTGGCCAAATCAAATAATGTATAATTGTTTCAATTTCAAGATGGGGCAACACCTACTAGATGACCAAGTGGAAGCTAATGAAGGCAACAGGCCAAACTCTTTTTTATAAATATTGAAGAAAACACATCTAGATTATCCGCAAGAACACAACCAACTAGATACGAGGGAAATCTTCAGAATCCTGCTCTACTTCTAAAATACACACAGGACCCATCCAGAAAAATATTGAACCCTCGACATGTTACAAAAGTGATTTGTCTTCAAACCAACTAGTAAATTTTATATTTTCTATGAATGTCCATAGTATAAGAAATAAAAACCATCTTTCGGAAATAGAAATAAATGATGGGAATTTTTACTTCATCGCACTTGTAGAAACATGGGCTAAGGATGAGGAAATGTGTAATATCTCAATTGATGGGTACTATCTGGTAAGCTATTATGGCAAATCGGTCCTCCAGGGGGGTGGCTGCGCAATATGGGCTAGACAAGGCATTGAGGTAGATATAGTAGATGTTAGTGAACTTAAATCCGAACAAGATTTTGAGGTATGCTGCTTAAAATGGACCTCAAGTCATAAGAAACATGCTATCATTAATATTTATAGATATCCCACTGGAAATGTTCAACTGTTCATTTTCAAACTGGAGACAATTCTGAATGTCTGTTTCTCAGTAGATACTACTATCTGGGTTACAGGAGATTTTAATATAAACTTCAACATCCCTTCTCCAGAAACAAATCAAATAATAAATATTATGTCTCAATTTGGACTAGGTGAACTAGTCTTTGAGAACACCAGAGTAACTACTCTCAGCAGTACTAGAATTGATAACATATTTGAAAATGTTGAGGCAGAGGTAATACTAAATGACACTTTTCTTTTAGATCATAGATCTTTAACAATATTGATCATTCCAATTGAAATAAATGAAAATATCAAATTATCACGTATACACAGCAGGCGGTTTAATGAAACTAACAAACTGAAATTTGCAGAAATGTTGAAAGTTCAAACTTGGAATGAGATAAATGGCGCCAACGAACCAGATGAGATGCTTAACATATTTTTTCATATATTTAATCATATATTTGATCAGTGTTTTCTGCTGACAAGCAGAATTGTAAAAAATAATGATGGTAAAACAGGCTGGGTGACAGAGGAGTTAAAAGAATCAAGTAGAAAGTTGAAAGATCTCTATATTTACAAAAAAAAAAAACATAGCGACCTTCGTGAACCTTACAATCTCATGAAGAAAAAACATTCAGTGTTAGTTGAAGGATGTAAAAAACAACAGTTCAGCAAATTAATTGAACAGTCGGACAAAAAAAGTAAAACATTGTAGAAAATAATAAATACACTTAGAAATAAAGAAATGTCAAAATATAACATGAAAATTGTACGCAATTTCGAATAATTAGCAAGCTTATTCAACAATTTCTTTATAGAGGCTCCTAAAAAAGTAGTAGAGTCAATACCTTAAATTCTTAATTTCAATTTCACGAGAAAATCCAATCCTAACTCGATCGTTTTGATGCCTTTCAGTGATGCAAAAATTGTCAATCATAATACAAAAACTCAAAAATAAAATGTCTACAGGTCCTACAGGTATTTGAGTACTGCATTTTAGACAGACTCACATCATTCATAGAGAAATATAATCTGATACCAAAAGAACAACACGGTTTCAGAAAAGGAAAATCTACTACAATAGCTTCACTTGATTTTTACAATAATATCCTTGAAGGAATTGACAATGGCCGATCACCCATAGAGCTCTTTTGCGATTTAAGTAGAGCTTTTGATTGTGTTCCCCATGAGGCACTGCTCAAGAAGCTCTGTCTAGGTGGAATAAGGGACACAGTTGCAAAACTGATTTCATTCTACTTGTTGGACAGAAGTCAGTTTGTTCAAATATCTCAAAAGGAGCCAGATGGATCAGTGAGTAGGCATCGTTCAGAAACTGTAAAGCTGGAAGTAGGCGTTCCTCAAGGTGGTGTACTAGTTCCAGTACTGTTCACACTGTTCATTGCTGACTTAGTGGAATATCTACCGAAATACAATATAACGTTGTATGCAGATGATTCAGCTTTTTTAGTAGACCGCGAAGGCATTCTCACTAACGAGGACGACTGCAATCTGTCACTAGGGAAACTTGGGGAATGGTTCTCTGCCAATCAACTGTATCTCAATACCGAAAAAACAGAATACGTAATCTTTTATACTAGACAAAGGACTACAAACAATTAAATATGTTATATCTACAGAACCAGAAATACACTTCCGAGATATAATAATGTACACCCATATCAAACTAGAGCTAGCAGCAATATCTATCCCAGACTTGACAAGGCTTACAAGGCTATAAAGGCTTACAATAAGTTGCCTATAAATATTAGAAATGAAACCACACTATCCAGATTCCGAAGCGCCATGAAAAAATATTTACAAATTAATTTGTTTTATAACCTCACTGAATATTTTAATATGAAACAATAGTAAATTAGTGTGTTTTTATATATTTCTGATTGTGTATATTGATTGTGAAACTATAGGTATCTTTTTTAGGATAAGACCTTCTTTATTGTTCATTGTGATTGACATGTTCTATACCCAATAGGGTCTCTGAATGAAATATACGATTGATTGACTTTAACGAAATATAACTGTTTGACAGAGACCTTAGCTGCAGGCAGAGTCACAAGGAACAGAGATTGCTCGTCAGCTAACAAAGGACATTTACAAACTTGTATGAGAAAAAAGATTTTTGGAAGCATGTCACGAAAGTATGAGAGAAAAAACACAATAAGGCCACAAGTCAACACTTTTTACCGGAGATATGGAAGATACGGGCAAGTTAGGTTCTACAATCCATTAAACTCCATAGTAGGTAAACAATATTGAATCTCTAAATCCCCAAACTAACATGTATTTGAATGTTAATATGAATTCAGGATGTTATTTGATATTGACGAAAAAGATTGTGAATTTATTGGTGAAACTCATCAATTGGTTTAAAAGGTTTTCAACTGGATCACAAATCATTTGAATGTAAAGTAACTGAAATACTTACTTAAAAATTATGTTATCTCGTTATAAAATGTATCTACTTTTATAACATATACTGTCAGATTCATAAAATGCAACTCACCATCGTGCATGACTGTGGTCTCGATTGAACGTTCACATCGCTACAACTGGCAGAACAATTTGAAGGGGCTGGTGACAATCCATCATCCGTGCTACCCGTATGAGTAGTAGTATCAGCGGTGGGCGGACTCTGTCCTCCAGGTGCCAGTGGCAATGGGCTCAGAGTTGTAGTATCCGGAGGACTACCAGCAGAAATCGTCGAGGTCTGACAGAAGGTATTTGTCGTAACAGACTGAGCATTCTGATTAACTGCCGTCTGGGTTGATACAGACTGCTTGTAGTTAACAGCAGCTTGAGGGTTATCTCTCTGTTGTACAATAACGGCCTGCATCTGCTTATTATCATTGGAGCTTACTATGTAGTTTTGCTGATCCAAGTTCAAGGTCGCCGTTCTCGCCATGTTCTGTTGGTTCTGCTGAGTGTTTTGCTGCTGGAAGTTCTGTAACTGCTGGTTATTGGCCACCATGGTGGTCTGTTGTTGCACGATGGTCGTGTTCTGTTGAACAAACGTGGTGTTCTGCTGATTGGATGATGACACTGCTATATTGGTGGCAGGGGTGCAAGGAACCATTAAAGTCTGACCCATCTGTCCATTCATCTGGATGTATTCTTGTTGAGGTTGCTGAATGGAAAAGTTTTTATTCATATGTTTCTTTGAATTGTACTTGAAAAAAAAAATTTTGTTGCTTTTCTAATTCACTAATAATGTATAAGGAATATGTCAAAGTGACTCAATTTTGAAGTAATGTAATTGACTTTTGATAAACAAATGTAAGATATTTTCAAGATGTCATTAAACAGATGAGCTTCCAGCAATAGCATAGAATAAATCAATGTACAAATAGTACAAAGTACCGCTCATGATGAGTTGAAAATGAGTGTTTTCATCTATAACCCTGAGTTCACACTGAAATTCTTGGAAGTTGCATTTGATATTGATACTCTTCAACTCTTTTATTTATCAAATCATCTAAAAGAACAATTCGTTCAGGCCAGTCTCAACTCCCTACACTGTAGGTTAATGGACTGACACCTATCAGAAAACAACTACTCCCCTGGCTAATACCACGAAGGGCGTCGAATTATATCTGACAGGTGTCAGTGCAGGATTCTTCACAGAAGTTATTCCTGCATATTCTGTTGGCGATACAACTGCCGCAATAGATTTTCAATTATTGGAACACACTTGCAGACCGGTTTCAGGCTGTTTGGCCACTCGTCAGTACAAGGTAGTGTATATCATCAACATAAAGTCGATGATTTCCGATAATTGAAAATCAAATTCCTTCAGAGTATCATTCCTCGAACTAAGCTGAAACATACAACAAACAACAGGTTTGTCGTCACCCCATCTGCCTGTGAACAAGGTAACCAACTGCATATCGAAAATTTGCCTAATTCCTGGTTTAAGGAAAGAAAACTTTTCACATATAGTCAGTGGGCATTCAGTGAGCATTCAGTGGGCATTCTTCAAGTATGGAGCAACACAAAATTCTCTTTCGATCAGTATATACCACGACACAGTAGAATAAATATATTGAGATATGGAGCTACACAAACACAGTTAACATTAAAACAGACAAAACTTTTGAAACATCCTAATATATATTTTTTCAATAAATGACGGGTTTACAATAGGAATCTGGAATACAAAATTTTCATTAAAGATAATAATCATTTTCAAATACAACATTATGAACTATTATGAATAAATGTTGCTAAACATCAATTTTTAATATAAGACCCAAGGAGGCTTAAATTGACAATTCCAATTGCTCACTTCTGTTGTGGAAAAATGAATGAGCAATGGGTATGAAAAATCACAAAATTTATAAGAATTTCAATTTATTTAATCCGATCATTTTGGTTTCATGTCACAATAAATTTTTTCCTTTATAAATAGCTCATTTTTTTCTCTTTTTGACATTATTTCTCTTTTAACTAACTCATCCGTCTATTTCAGTTCAATTTATTTCAGTATCTTCAATGGTTTTCAAATTGAATTTTTTTTGGGGTACCAACACATTAGGCATTTGATGGTTTTATTTATTTCAATGATAGAATGTAAATGAATTTTTGAGAATCAGTAATGGTACCAAAAAAAAACCTATTGCTTTTATTCCTACTATTATCAGGGTAATAATAAAAAATAATTCATTAAAAATTACCAACTCTCAGGAATATCGGGATGAATCCATTTTCACAATATTATATAAACATTGCTGTTTAAAACCTAGAACAACCATCTATATAAAAAATACAACTAACTTCCTAATGTTTTTTGGTATATAACCTTCCACAATCTAAAAAACCGATAGAGAATCTGCTGAAGTGTAATAAAGGGCAAACTGAAAAGTTAACCCTGAAAAGTTACCGAGTAATATAAACCACTGAAGAATCCAATATTACTCAGTAACTTGTATTCAAAACTTTTGCAAATTTAAAAAATCGTCGACCACTGAAGAAAGGTAAGTATAAATTTGAAAAACGATTTTTTTCAATTTGTAGACAAAATTTATGAATACGACAAGTTACTACTGTGGTTCTACTGAAAAACAAGTAACATATGAAACACGGTTTTCGAAAACTGGTGAACCAAAAGTCAAAATGAGAATGACAATCGGTAGAAGATAGGTTTAGATTTGGAATATTTGATCAGGTGATTCACAAAAAGTACCTAGGTCACTTTCATTTTGTTTTGAGAAAAACTTTCTGATATTTCACATCCGTAGATGAGTAGAAACATATGATTTTCATTGAATTTGATCATTACCATTTTAAAAAAATACATATAATATTTTATTGACTTAGATAATAATTTTCAACAAGTGTCTCATTTTGGTAATGAATACAATGAACTATCTAGGTTAAAACATGTTTTTATAAAAAACATGTAAACCTAGCGTAAACCAAGTAAAAACTTTGAAATCAACAATATTTAAAGACGACATGTTTCTGTTCACTAAATTCAAATTTCTCATGCTCTTCAGTTTCATTTGTCGAGAGCCAATGAACCCAAGACCCTTATTCAAGTGACATTTCAAAGCACTTATCAACAAATTTGATTTCTATTGACATACCAAATATGATCAGTTAATTAGGCTCACACGCGAGATGCTTAAGTCTGACTGAACTTCTCATTCAGAAAAAAATTCATGGAAACTGGATATATTTAAAAAATTTCACTTTACTTTTAATCACACTGAAATTTGTAATTTTATGCAAATTGTATAAATTTATGAATTTTCAATAACTAAAATAAACATTTATTAACAAATCCTTTATTTAAATTAAAAAATACTTACAAAGCGGATGAAAAAATAAGATTCTGAAGCTAAACATTATGAGACAAAAGATTAATGATACGAATCAACAAGAGCTCAACAATGCACAAGAAAACAATACTTGTCTCTCGATAAGTGTTTCGCTGATCCAGTTAGCTAACTTGGTTACCAAAAGCACGTTGAGAGACAGACATTTTGTTCAGGCGAGGGAAAAGTGTTTTCAATAGATTTATTTCACACCAGAGGTTCTAAATTCTACTTATCAAATCCCAAAATCACTTCAATATTTCATTACATTTCAAAGAAATCAACAGTTTCTAAAGAATACAGAATTATTGGAAACACATATTTGCCATATTAAAGTTATACCAGTTATGTATTTGATATAATGATTAATAATTGGTAAGTCAATTTAATTTTCAAAATATAAAGATTTAGGGTTCTGTTATATTTTATAAGAATGAATATTTGTTGACTACAATACCATATTTACGCATTTTAAACAGATATAAAAGATATTGTGTAATATGTTAAAATAGTTTACTTTAAATGAAATGGATTCAAATTCATAGTTTGCATGGTTTTCGAAAAACAATTTTGATCCATCAATTATTAGATATATTTAAGAGACTCACCATATTTGAATTGCTTGTTCTTATCTGCTGTGGCGATGTGCTGAAAGTTACTTGCTGGTTAGGACTCACGCTGGCAACGAGTGGACTCAATTGACCACTGAACTGAGTCCCATTGACCACAAACTGCCCTCCGTTAGGAGACAAAAACTGTGCTCCAGGACTATGCTGCTGTTGCTGTATAATCTTCCCTTGCGAAGTCGGTGTCCGAATTACCATCCCTGCTGGGCCAGCAGCCAGAATACTTTGCCCGCCATTGAACATAGCGTTGTTTTGGACTGGCGTTAAAACGTTTTGACCATTTACATTCTGTATCTGAAGCTGCATCCCCAAATTCGAAGCATCCTGCAAAATAGTTGCTGTGCCATCTGGGTTCATGACCATTCCTCCCAGATTAGGAACAATGAATTGCTGGATGGCGGGAAAATTCTGAACAACTCCTGTTGTTCCATTTATCAGATTCACGGGCTGCAGGAGATTGATTTGTTGCGCTGGTTGCGAGTTGGTGATCAGTTGTTGAGTGCCTAAGTTGGTGTTGGCCATCGCTTGGCCGTTCATCACAATCTGTGGAGGCCCGCCAGTCTTGCTGGGAACAATGGTGAGTGCCTGCATCACTGGACCGGTCGTTATACCTGAAAATAATAAATTTTTATTTGTACTGGGTGAACATATAAAAATAATTTACATTCATATTATTTATACATATGATATATGGATGATAAATAACTTTCCCAACTATTTATAATAAGGGAAGTCCAGGTTGCCAATGTTTTTGATTTAAACTGGATTTGAGCAACTACCAGAGCCCTAGTTAGAGAACACTATAGATTTAAAGAGAACAATATCCGGGGTGGTAAGCTGTAGTTGAATGAAACTTGAAGTACCAAATGTTTCGTCTGCTACTGCCACATACATCATCAGTGGTATGTACATTGCCTACAAAGATGAAGGTTATATCTTGAAGTATCAGCAATGACTGACTGACTGACACTAGTATTCATAATTTTCGAGGGTAGTGGAAGTGATGGTTTCCTCGTTCCTGTAACTCAGTTTACATTGAAACTATTGAGAATGGAGCATCAACACAGGATACAAGAACACGAGCGTAGCTGTCGCCTCGTGCAACCGGAGAAATCCGTAATTATAGAACACGTCCTTGTAAAAACAGACTTCTCAATAAAATACGAAGATACTGCTATGCTGTCTAATTCAATGAATTACCACACCCGACTTCATAGGCAGGTATATGGGTCATCAGAACGTGATATCCAGTACTCAAGAAGGCTAGAAAGGGACTAGAATACGACTCTAATTGTCGTTCCACCAGTAGCATACTTGTCAACAATGTGGACCAATCGGAAAAACCTAGTAACAGTGCCTACCTATTAGACCAACTGCGAACCAATCAGGAGAGACCATTCGTATGGACATCTCACCATCGCCCTCATGACCATCTCCACTACCCTCTGAAATCATAAATACTAAAGTCTACTCAAATCCAAGATAGAGTAAAACAAAACAAAACCGAAGCGTGATGTTCACGTGATCGCCCAGTGTCAGATGGAAAGGGCAGCGTTCATTGGTGAATTCGCCTTCTTGGTACAAGTTCGGTATCTGCACAGGGTTGTAATCAGTCGTTTGCGTGTTTGTGTGGCGAGCGTTATAGTATATTGTTTAAAATTGTTTTCCAAGATGTCCAGTACAGACACTGCTGATGACACTGTGAGCTATCTTGTGAGATGAAAGAAGTGATTTTAAATGATTTCAGGAGGAAAGTGCATGAGTACTTTTTAAGAAATGAAATACCCACAATAGACAAAGTACTCACAGAAATAAATGAAGATGTTTTATTGCCAAGTTTTAAGTGGTCAACATTCCATAAAGTATTGAAACATTTGAATTTTGTATAGAAAAAACGAGGGCGCAATAGTTTATTATTGGATAGAGAGGAAATTGTGTTATGGAGGAGAGAGTATTTGACCAAAATTAAATATTATAGGGAACAACAGAGAACAATTTATTTTATGGATGAAACCTGGGTTAATGCTGGTCATACTACCCCTAAAGGATGGATCGATGAAACTATGACCTCATCTAGGAGGGCCTTTCTAGATGGACTATCCACCGGATTAACAAATCCATCAGGTAAACTTATATTTATATCAAGACCTGCCTCAATCTCAATATTAAAAAGTAATCCTCGTATTTGTTTCATTTACTTACATACCTCTTCATAATTTCAGGTAAACGAAAACGGCTTATTATTTGTCACATCGGCAATGAGAATGGGTTTGTTGCTGAAGGGCTGTGGTGTTTCGAGTCAAAGAAAACAGGAGATTATCACGAAGAAATGAACGGTGAATCTTTCGAACAGTGGTTTTCCAAAGTTCTACCCCATCTAAAGGATAATGCTGTGATTGTAATGGACAATGCACCTTATCATTTGCGACGGTTAGAGAAGATTCCGACAACGTCTTCAAAGAAGGTTGAAATCCAAAATTGGCTGCGATCAAAGAATATTAGCTTTGAAGACTCAATGCTAAGAGTACAGCTACTAAAAATTGTCAAGGAGCGCAAGCTTTAATACCAAAAATATATAATCGATGAGATGGCAGCAGGCCAAAACAAAATTGTCCTTCGCCTGCCTCCATACCACTAGGAGCTCAATCCCATCAAGTTAATATGGGCGGATGTGAAGAATTTTGTAGCTCAGCATAACACCACGTTCAAATTTGCAGATCTCAAAGTACTTTTTGATGAGGCTTTGAAAAGATTGATATAGCATTTGCGATCAACAAGATGTTGGTTCTGAATACGACCCTGGCCAATTCTTGGGATTTTCAATATCACGTGCGTTGGGCATGTCAATGTTTACATCCACTCTATCTTGGATTTGAATATGCTCTAGTGAACATGTAGCTCCCCAGTCAGTCGTTGCTGAGATTTGGAAATATGACTTTCATTCTTGCACATACCACTGATGATGTCTGCTGCAATAGCAGATGTCCTTCAAGTTACATTCGATCGCGGCCTACTAGCCCGGATTTTTTTTATCGTGACTCCGGCTTAAAAGCCAATGTTTTCACACTATAGATTTGTTGCCAATAAGTTAACTCATTCTAATCTACTTGAGTATTACAATTAATTTTTTAGTGCAACTTACATGTGTCAAATTTCACTTGATTCAAGATTGCTCTCCAAAATACTTAAAAGAAAACCTTTTACTCAAAGATACATTTTTTATATGAAAATATGTATGGCTATTTTATATGAACTCAAGTAACCTTCTTTTATCATTACATTGTATATTTTATATTGTGGGTGTATTTTTTATACAATTATCTCAACTTCGGTGAAGAATAAATTAGATTGATTGAAAAATAACGTATCCTCTTTGGAAATCTAAGGACCGCTTCAGAACTGAATTCCGAATTCCAATGAATAATCTTTTAATAGCAATAATTTATATCATTTTCACTAATAGCTATCTCACTTGAATAGATACTTACCTTGAGGACTGTGCGACATCTGAATTTGTTGCGGAAACCCTTGCTGGGACATAACTACACCGGAATTCTGCTGAGCGGCAATATGCAACATGCTGGCCACAGTCTGTGGAGAGCCCTTCTTCTTCTTCACCTTCTTCTTGGTCTCCGGCGAAAGTAGAGCTGGCAGTCTTCTCGCGTCCGAATTGTCAATTTGAATCTGTTGCTGGATTACATTACTGGCCATCAGTTGTGGTAGCTGCATGTTCTGCATGCCGTCCATCGTCATGGTAACACCTGGTTGGAGCACAAATGGAGCTGGCAAAGCGTTGACCAAGACAGTTTGCTGGCCAAGGACTTGCTGCGCGACCGCAGGTATCACTTGGGCCATGGAGCCGGTAACATTGGTTACCATTGGAGACACAGAGATTGGAGGCATGCCGCTCTGACTGGCAATAAGTTTCGGAGGAGGCGGCGCCATCATACCTCCTTGTCCATTTCCGGTACTAGCCATGATGAGCTGACCTCCGGATGAAACGAAAATGTGACCTATCAAGAAAGAGTATTATATAATATGAAAAAGACTAATCGTCAAGTTAACAGAAAAGAAAAATTGAAGGAAAATGAGATGGTAATAAACATATACAACAAAACATGGAAATATAATCTGTATTGATCAGGAGAACTATTTATCATGGATAATAATTAATTTCAACATAGGAATGTCAGTAGCGAATTTCATCTTTTTGAAGATATGACTATCAATGATCTTTAGAAAAATTGTTGATTGCATACAATTCAATAAGTTATGATGATTGTTATTTGGTTCTTCATGGTCGTACGATTTGGATCAATTACAACTTTCATATTTTAAATATGGACCTGAATATATATAGAAATCTATAAGGTTTGTCAAGCCTCTAGCTTATATATGGATAGTTGATTCATTGGATCACTTCATAACTCAGTGACATACAACAAATTGTAGTGATCAATGATAAAAGATCTAAAGGAAATATTGTGAACATTGGTTGGTGTTCCTCAAGAATCCATATTAGGAACAGTTTTTTTCCCAATATAATTGATATGGTTTACTCATGCACTAAGACATAAAAAATCATTATGCATGCAGATGATACCAATATCTTATTTTCTGAGAATAAATTACAAGATACTGTGGCTAAGGCAAAAATTTGAGCAATTGATTTCTCTGAGTGAAAATATAGAAATATAAACGAGGATTTTGCCACAGCCATTTCGGAATAATTTTTGATGATCGTTATTGCACTGAATGATTTTTTCATCGATTTCATTTAAGATAAAATGAATTGAAGACAGAAACAAGAATTCGAAATAGAAAGAAATCGCAGAAGCAAAAAAAAACTAAACCATAGGACCATGGTGTATTAGACCTGCAGTGCTAGACTCCATATAATAAATACAATCTCACCTGGTGACAGACCTGTTGGTGAATGCTTTATAATTTGAGGTGACATTTGCGATCCAGTCTGGCCTTGGTGGACCTGCTGTGAATGAGGAACTATGCTGCTAACAACACTCTGCACCATCTCCAGTGGAGATTTTGAAACGTTCACAGTTATTGCTTGAGTTTGAATCGATGAAGGGTTTGCGAAGGAGTTGGGCGGCGAAGAACCTGCTACTGATGAAGGGCTGTTGATTGAAACGGTAGCCGTATTAGCTCGACCAGCGAGAACAGATGTGATGGTGTTACTGCCTACGGTCCTACCACTTGCCATGGTGGTAACCAGCCCTGCCATTCGTGAGGGATGTGCATACGAACAACACACTGTCTCGAGTTTGGGATAACTTGTTTCTCTAGACTGACCGACATGATCCATATGATGCATCTGTGACTGTTGAGAATAAGTCACAAATGGAACTCCATTATTAATTATTTGCGAAGAGTCCAAAATCCTTTGAGGTGGAATTGAAGAATGAGGATTATGTGAATTCATGGCATGAGGATTGGGGTTGTGAAGATTAGGAGCATTGGAAGTATGAAGATTAATAGAGTGAGGATTGGGATTGGAAGGGTTAGCAATATGAAGATTAGGATTTGGAGGTTTAGCAATATGAGGACTAGGAGTGTGAGGATTAGGAACATGATGATTGGGAGTCTGAGGATTAGGGGTGTGGGGATTGGGGGTGTGGGAATTGGGAGTGTGGGGATTTGGAGTGTGGGGATTCGGAGTGTGAGAATTTGGGGTGTGAGGATTAGGAGTATGAGGATTGGGAGTGTGCGGGTTTGAAGTGTGTGGATTGGGTGTAGGAGGATTGGAGGAATTGCCATCAGTAGGTGAAACATTGCTTGTACTGACTGTGCCGCCTTGTATTGGTCGTGAATCAGGTGATGTTTGATTGAACTGCTTCTCAGAATAAGTGGATGATGTGACTGGATCTTCTAGGGTACCTGAGTGCAAGATATTATATGTTAAGAGAGAAATTGTATCATTTGCAATCAATGAAGCATATGTGAAAAGTTCAATGCATGTAGGGCTCATCCGTACATCTACTTGAATTACTTTTAAATTAACCAAACTCTGGTTTCAACTAGATTAGCTTTGGTATTTCTGTTTTTAAAAATTCATACTTCTCTCACCTGATGAGCTCGGAGTTCCAGAAGTACTACTTGCCCTCGAACTGATCTTTTGATTTTGATACTGATTCTGCTGCGTATTATCAGCTACACAGCAGTGACAATGCATAGAGTACTGATGCTGATCTGGTAAAGCGCTACTGTCAGCTAAGTTCGGTTGGACTTGCACTTGACTGTACTGCTGCTGCCCGACATTAGGAGTAGGTTGCTGGTTCCGCACGAAGTTCACATTCTGAATTGGTTTAGCAGGCATATTCATGGGCTGGGTTTTCATTTGAGACGCAGCAATGTTGCTTGGAAGAGGAACTTCATTGCCTTGAGAATTCGATACTGTAATGATGTGCTGTTGCGGATTCTGAACAGAAGTTACAGGACTATTGCAGACATATCCAGTGCAACCATTGGCACCTGCATTGAAATATAACATGAATAAAATGTTTTCTCAATCACCTAGAGACACTACTATTAACTAGAAACATATTAGATAAGAAGTGCATTATCTTTATATTCATTATTTATTCATAAAAGTTTTATCAGAGTCTTACATTCAACCTTTGCTACTTATTCATTTAATGTATCAGCAAAAATGATGAACAGTATGTCAAACTAACTGAATCGTTTCCATTTATTCCATCTAGTTTTCGGTAGACGAAGTGACAAAAAGGTGTTTTCAAATGTATGCCTTGTTTTCTCTTTTACTTTTTGCCTTCTATCACAAAAAAGGGATTGTTTAGTTGCTGCCAGAATTATCACCTGCATAAATATACTGCTGTTTTAACAGGTAGGTAGATTCAAAGTAGTAGTAGGTCCACCGAAACTTGTGAAGCTTTTTTGTTCAAACTCATTCAAACACATCCAAATAAGCTTGTAGATGCAGATGATTAGCTTATCTTTCAGGTCAGATACAGTATACGTCATGGCTGATAACGAGCGATCACACAGGTATAGACTCTCCCAACTAAATTACTATTGGATTACAATAAGCTCTTTGCCGGCCAGTGTCGTACCTATGATAAGTTTTAATTAGGGTAAGGGTTAAATTGAAAATGAGTTTGTGTGCATGGGGGCGCACAGCGCTTACTGTATCATGAATGACACTCTGTCAAACATTGATAACCCAATTGTATCCGCAGCAGAAAAGGCACAAAGTATGTGATCTGCTGTTCCAACATTTTCCAGAGACGACAACACACTGTGTTCCGTCAGTCCCAGTCTCTTCATGAGATGATTCATACAACATTGGCCTGTAACTGGGTCTGTTAGATAATATAGATCACCCCTGCTGTAATCTAACAATTATTCTATAACATAATTAGAAGAATGGGTCAATCTGGATAGAACTTGCGGTCCAGGTATTTAGTGTTTGTTTGGTAAATTAGCCATGCTAATGACAGGTTCTGGCCTGATGAAACTTCTTGCAGAAAGGGCTTCCTCTAAAGCCGCTGTCCAAGATTTTTTTTTTGATATATAGGTGAGATTGGTTTCTACCAATATCAAGCGGGAATCTACCCAATGAATTGGGTAGACTATGGTCCCCATAGGCAGACAATAAATCTATCATTTAATATTCAATTACCTGTCTGCCTATTGATGGTACTATTGAGCAGAGCAGTCTGCTGCGCCAAATATCCACTGGGATCCTCCATGAAAGACGGACTCGCCGAGTTCTGATTATTCTGCGGAAAGTGGTTTATTATCACAGCTCTGCTTTCTGCTGGTATTTGCCTCACATCAATGTTGGGACAAGGAGCGTGGTTGGTGGGACAGCCCTCCATCATATGGTATGGTCGGTTCTTGTTGACTTTACCCAGCTTAACTTTTTTCCTCTTGATTTCTTCTTGCCACACGACTGGAGGTGGAGTGTGTTGATGGAGAGGAGGCACTCGTTCACAGATGCTAGATTGGTTAGATTGTTGCTGTTGTTGAAGCTGTTGCTGCTGCAACTGCTGCTGCTGCAACTGTTGCTGATGTTGATGTTGTTGCTGCTGCTGCTGTTGCTGGGTAATGGTTTGTTGTAAACGATTCTAGAACAAGAAAAAAAAGAAGTAGTAAAGGGGCAGATCTTGATAACCTCAGGATGTATTTTCAAACAGAAATGAAGCTTTAAGCAAATACAAAAAAAAAACAACCCATCAAGACAGAAATAGTTATGAGCAGTTGTGCATCTTCGTACTCTCCTCAATAAGAAATGATAAACAGACAAATCTAAACAATTTCATTGTAATTAGTGATAGAAGAGAAGGAAAATATGAAATACTTGTGGTAGATAAACGAATTACAATTTTTGATCAAATATCTGCTCCTGATTCATTAATAATTCATACTTTTCCTCAAATTTTGGAAGAATTGAGAGATATTACTTGTAATGAAGCAATATAATAATAGAGCAGATTCACGACCAAAGAGTGTGAACTTTTGCCTGCAGATCAGGCCAACAAACTCAAAAAATAGTTTTGACGCAGATTTATGACCTTTCATTTGAGATAAGTACAAAATATGGTATAAATGATATATCAATAATCTTGTTGAGCTACTGTAGCCTTTTCATTGATTCCTTCACAGTTCGCCTTATTATTTACAGAATCAATAAAAACCAATTTTCTGATTTATAGAAAATATCGATAGGACACCCTATGCCTAAAATAACAACTTCAACAGATCTAGCAGAGCTTTGGCTAATAAGTATATGGGAAAGAAAGGTTTTGGCTTTCTACTTCTCCATCTTGATACAAAAAATGTGTCTGTCCAAAGTGGTTGAAAAAATTATGTACTCCCTAATTTTTTTTCTGATTTCAGATACAATCATTGCCAAACTTGTTAAAAGAAACTTTAGTGTGTTGATATTTTTGGATTTTCCAAGAGTATTCTATTCTGTTAATATTAATTAATCTTTCATAAGCCAAATTAAAATGTTATGGGTTTTCTGATAGTTGGCTTATAATGATAAAATCTTAACTGACAAATATAAATCAGAAGATAAAATTCAATCAAACAAACATTATATCTAAGTTGAGTATTCTTCGACCTCTCTTTGTCATTATTTATACCACTGGTATTCTAAAATGGTAAACATGTGTAATATTCAGACATATGCCATGATATTCCACAGTTTCGCTAAAGAAAACTAAATGATGCACAGAATTCATTCAATAATGATCTCAAAGTATCAAAGGTTTTGTCCTCGCAGTCAATGCATATACCATTAAAGATGTCTACAGCAGTAGCAGAGTATGAAACATTCTCTGTAATCATCACAAGGTTAGATGTAAGAATAACCGAAGAAGAAATTGAGTACCTACTACTTGTGTAACTATCATAATGATTGTGTGTTAAAGGTAGCATCATTACTATTACTAACCTGGCCTTTGTTTTGATGAGTAATTTGAATTTCTACAAACATATCTACAAACATTGGCGATAATATCCCAAATTGCAATAGTTGTGGAATATAGAAAATGAAGGAAGAAATGTGCTTACATTATGCCACTGCATCCTCTGTTGTTGATTTTGTATTTGCACTGGTGCATGTGTAAGCTGATTCGGATGATTGGTCACACTGTGAGGTCTGAAAGCGTGCTGCATCATCTGTCCAAAAGGCCTAACATTTTTACTGGGATCATAAGGATGTCCATGTTGGAAAGCAAGGTGGTTGTTGTAGAACTGCATCTGTTGTTGCTGTTGTTGTTGTTGGTGCTGACTCCTCTGTTGCATTTCTTGTCGCTGTTGATTGATGTTTTGTTGGTTCGGAATGCTGACAGGTACCATCTAATAACAAAACAATAATTTACATAATTTAGGAAGTAATTCATTTATGGTATAGCCTAGCGCCTCTGATGAGTCCTATGGCGGGGCAAAACAGCGCTGTTTTTGATATTGGATCACAAATGTTTTGTTTTTGGGTTCTGGTTCAATTATATTGTTGTTTTGTAGTGAAAGCTGCAATGAAAGACAGAGGACAATCTCATTTGACGGTCGATGTCAAATCTTAACTTTGCAAAGGACCACCTTTTGGAGTCTCATTAAATTTTGTAACTCGTGGATTGAGGATTTTGTCGATCCCACAGATGGTGTCTTTATGATGCGAGATTTCATCGTTTTTATTTACTCAGATTTGTTGTTTAAGAGCAGTTGGGTTCAGCAATTCATTCGTGATTCAGCCTAGTGCCGCTGATGAGAGCTATGGTGGGTCGAAACATGGCTGTCTGATGTTGCATCACAAATGCTTTGTTTTTGAGCTTTGGTTTCAATAAGTAAATACGATTTATGATAAATATTGAGTTTTGTGAAATACTTTGAAAAGATCCTTATGGATACCCTCCCGATAACTGACTTTAATTACAAATTAAGGGATCTAGCCAGTACTACGTGGTAGGAGATCATAATGAAGAAAAGAGAATTAAAACTTTTTATATTTTTATCATTTTTATTTGTAACTAACGCTACTGCAGTTTCGTCCTATAAGTACATTTTCAAACTTATATAAATAAACATATAAATAAAAGTGGTGAAAAACATAGAAAGTTTTAATTCTCTTTTCTTCATTATGACTTTAATTAGTAATTGTCAAATCATTGAAAATGTTCAATAAATGCTTCATATTCACCTGAACATTCGGCCTTCCTGGTCCAGTAGGTTCATTTGGTTGTCCGTTGATAAATATCCTATGCTGATGGAGCTCTTGAGGCTGCACCATGTTCTGACTCTGTGCCAACTGACTCACTTGCTGGTTCTGGTTGGAGGAGCCGAGAGTACCCTGTACGTTGATTATCTGCCCATTGGGACCGATAATCTGATGTGACTGTATGTTTATCGAACTGCCATTTTGCGGTACATGATGGTTCTGAGTCATTTGCTGCGACGATATGTTGGCAGGATTGTTGGCTTGTTGTACCATTACAGTACCGTCTTGGTACCTTACTAGGTGGTGGTTCTGTTGGGGCTCCTGGTAGTTGGGAAACCGGTTTGAAATGATCTGCTGATTATTCACTGGGGTTTGAGGGAAGACCTGAAAATTTATTTTATATTCACGGTTTTATTCCACGACACATATTCAGAGTATTCTTCATAAAATTAAAAACTGTAATTATTCTGGTACTCCAAATGAAAACCTCATCCATATTCATCATCAACTAGTGAGAGAGCAACTTTATTTGGATGAAAAACCATTACTAAATAGTCCATCAATTCACTTCTGTTTGCCTCTAGTATCCAGAAGAGCATTCATATTTTTTTCTCCTTATTTGACTGCAGTTTCTAACACGGTCTGACCAATCTTTTCAGATCTTTTGCAGCAAGGATTACTTAAATTTTATTATTTTCCTCGTCAACCAGTGTATTTGTTTAAATTACTATTAATTTCATCTTTTGCTTTTAGTAGTGTTCTCTCTTTTTGTATAGTTTTCTTCATTTTTCTTGTTTTCTTATTGAACTATTTCTTTACCTCCACCTTCTCAATTGTTACCAGAGAACAGTTACCACGAAACTTATAATTCTATGCCGGGATTGAGCTGCTTTTCTTCAAATTCGCAAACAAAATATTTTCCCGCCATTTAAACACTGAGTACTTGTTATTTTATAGTTTTCGGTTAGCTGTTTTTTGTTAAATTTGTCAGCTTGTGATGAAAAAAGAAAAGTAGGAAAATTATGACGAATACGTGGCCTGTATTTATTTTACCTATCAAGATGATCAGGAATTCCAAAACCTGATCGTTCTGAGAACTGACCTTGGTATATTGGCTTGTATTTGTTCGATCACGTTGGTTTCACAATGAGCTTGGCACTTTTCATTTCTTGCGCCATATTCAGTAACCTTTGGAATACCGAAGATAGTAATATACTGACCATATTGATAGTACATGCATAATGGTCTCAGACGCCTTTTGGCAATCCCTATATTTGATCTGCGAATATGCAGAGTGCATACCCATTATATAGATATATGACAGATTATGATGTTAGAGACACATCTTGGCAAACCAAGAGAATTAATGAATTTTCATAAATTGGTTCATATTAGGTTGTTTCAAAAGTTTTGTCCGTTTTAATGTCATGTGTTTTTATATTGATGAATATTTATTCTACTGACTCGTGGTATATACTTATCGACAGAGAATTTTGTATTATATGCATTGATGATGTACATTTCTTTCCAAATTTCAAAGTTGTGCATCTTTTCAGCTCATTACTATATGATATCGGTAAGCGATTTTCGGCCAATTTTTCTATACGAATTCAAATTGAACCAAAGCGCTGCCAAAACGCCTTCAAAAATGACCTAGGCAATTTGGCAATGATAATGGTAATGAGCGCATTGTTCGACGCCACCGAAGTGGCCGACCTATAATAATCCAGGATGAGGATTTGAGGACCCTGTTGGAGACTTACCCATCACAAACGGTGCTTGAGATGGCGGAAGAATTGGGCGTCAGCTCCCATGAGGTTATCGATGGTTTAAAACGTATTGAAAAGGTCAAAAAGCACGAAATGTGAGTGTCCCACAATTCGAACGATCAGCAGAATTGTCACGTTCCGAGGTCTTTCATTTCGCGCAACCAAAACGATCCGTTTTTGGATCGAATCGTTACGTATGATGAAGAGCGAACCCTCAACGACAACAGGAGACGCCCAGGACCGTGGTTGGACACTGTTGAGCCACCCAGACACTTCCCAATGGCAAAAACCCATCAACAATGGCCGTTATTACTGTATGGTCACTGGTCAGCTGTTGGTGAGATCACTATAACTTTCTGCAACCGGGCCAAACCATCACTTCAGAGTTCTATTGTGGGGAAATAGACTAAAATGTACAGCAGCAGCAGCCGGTACAGAAGAAGTCCAATTCTGTTTCACGATATCGTTGTGCACTGATTCAAATGGCGCCTATTTCGATTAAATTGTAGGCTCATAAAAACGAACAAAACTTCTGAATAACTCAATACAACCGCAGGAGTAGGAATGGCGGACTTTCTGAGAATTTTTTATATTTTTGATGGAGGGGTTTATTGCGGCTAAGATGACATTTTTTCTCACCTCTGGTAACTACATTTTCATGGTGACTAGATCAATGAGGGCTGAGTTTGTAGGAAAAGGAACAGCTGATATGAGAACTGATAAAGAATAAGATCATTTGTTTCATATGTAGAAAAAATAAAAAACACCGTAGTGACAAAATACTACGAGTCCTGAAGAAGAATTTAAATACGTTCGAAATGTAGGAAAAAAAACAATTGTTTTTCAGAGAAAAATTGATCGTGTTCCTAACCAATACTTTGAAATTGAGTCATTGTATTGGCTAACTAATTATATATAATTTGTTTGATGTTTTTACTCAACAATTTTATCCAAGATTTTTGAAAATTACATTTTCGTGATTAATAAAAAAAATGGTAATAATTGAAACAATTCCACAAAACTACCAACCTGTTGCGGATTTCCAGCTGGGTCCTTATTAAAGCTGTGTTGATTTAAAGCTACTTTTTCTCGTTGAGAAGGTATCTGCGAGATGGGAATCCCACCGGCATACGGCAGCCCTATTTTCCGCTTACTTCTCTTGATATATTCTGAAAAAGAAATCAAATTTTGTAACAAAACACTAACAATATAGTAAATATGAATATTTAATCTATTTGCTACATTCCATGTTATCTTAACCAATTTTGGTTACCTATAACTTTTCACATATAGCTGAATTACTGTCAAAAAGTTTTGTCACAGTAACAACAAAATTTGCAAAAAATTTTTAATGTACGAAATAACACTTGACTATAAAACTGCAATAGAAGTTCTCAGAGAAATAATTGTTTCAGACGGCACACATTCTTTTTCTGAGTTTTGAAGAGTCATATTACTACAAAGTGTCCATAAAAATTAATCAAACTACTTTGTCTCAAGTAGTTGTTACTGATTATTTTAGGACCACCCTTGTAATATATTTTCTATCGGGATATGAAATCTGAAAGACATAAATGTTTCGTAACGCCGAAATACCATTCGAAATATAAATTTCAAATTCATGTTTAAAACGTTGTAAAAACTATTTTCGTTCGTGCTAACCCACTTAGTACTTTTAGAATAGAGTCGGGTTGGTTGAAAGCAAATTATAACGTTTCCTCTCACAAATGTAAAATTAGTTAATGACCTGCTCAAAGACAGGTTGCTGATATACCAATTTAAGAAAGGTCACGTTTGAATCGTCAAAGTTATATGATATATAAAATGAAGAGAATTTGACCAGATATTTATGACTGGTGAACAACTAGTGAACAAACGCAATTTCCAGAAGTTCTAACAAATAAATATAGTTGAAAAACTAAAAAACACGCTATTAAAGAACATCGAACTAAAAAGTTGAAAATATTTTTTTCGATGTTCTTTAAAAGCGCGTTTTTTAATTTTTTTAAAACTATATTTATTTTTCAGTTTTTAGTTTCGTATGCTATAAAAGCGTGTTTTTCAGCTAATAAAAGCGTGTTAATTATTTACTCGTGTAAATTATTCCCCGAAAACATTCAATTAATTTGAAGGAAGTATTTTCGTAACTTACAACTTTTCTTCATTTTTTCCGCTTAAGCTCCCGGAACATTATAATAATATACCTCAATATTTGGTGTTGCTCACCATGTATATCCTTATGTATTCAACGACTCAAACTTTAAACAAATTAAATCTAAATTTAATCTCAAATGCAATCCAAATGTTTGTTGTTGAGTAATATGTTCTCATTTACATTCTCCAATGTGAGTTGCATAACGTCATAGACGTACTTGATGCGTTATTTGAAGAATTCGAAGGATTCTTCAATTACAGAAATACAGATAACTATTTTAGGATTTGTATTTTTTTATTTGTCGAACAAGGTTTGTTTTGAAATATCTTGGACAGTCGTTGTTACTGAGGCACCGACATACTACCTTCGTCCTCGTAGTAACACATATGTCACTGAAGATGTCTGCCACAGTAGCAGACGAAACATTTGGATCTACACCTACTAGCCAGCATTTTGTTCTCTCTAATCATAACTCCGGCCATGAAAGCCTGTGTTCTTATATATTATCTTGGTTCTTTCATGGACCATTTTTTTCAAACAAATACATAATCAACTAGTTCTAATTTCTTACAGTAAATGATCAAAATGTATTTAATGAAGACGGAGAAAGCATAGTATCATGTGTACTATATTTTTATGGAAAAGAGAAAGATAATGATGAGACAGTAATAACACTCTTTCCGTTTCCTCTTTCTATGAGATATGGGACTTAGACCGAAACCGATTTTTTCGACTTCTCTGAGCCAAGACAAACAGAGAGATAGAACCAGTCAGCCCATGTTTTGTTGTCATTTGTTTTAAAGAAATTTGTTGAATTTCTATCGTTATTAGCGGTTGGCATTTTCAGGAATACAAGACAGTCACTGTTTATCAGTATTTCGCACGTGCTTTTAGAGAATCATCCTTTGTTCATGACACATACTGTTTTCTCTTTCGTGTCTCTTGTCTCGCACAATGGTCTCATATCTCGCATCGAGGACTCATGTCCCGCTCGAAAAAGCTACATACTGTTTCTGTCTCCTGTCTCGGGTTTCCATCTTCATCACATCGCGAACCTCTGGCTTTATTTTCTAGACCTTATTTTCTTACCACATCTAAAAATCAATGTTGTTAACAACTATTTGCCTTACCTCATTTCATTTTTTTTTATTTCGTACAATTATATGGGTAATGGAATGTTCATTTAGATAATCTTTCCGGCTTTTGACATAACCCGCCACGCTCGTTTTTGGTTCAGTGCATTTTCGCGTTATGTTTTCACTTGATAATACGCCTATGCAGGCAGCAATTCACGGTTTACATAGTTTGTTTGTACAATAATTAATACGAACTCAGTACAAATTACATCATAAATCAGTTTCAACATAAATGATTTCCTAGTTTCGCGTCTCTCCAGAAATAAATGAGTAATTTAATTGAAGCGCTATTAGGTAATTTCTATTATTGTTTTGCTTGCTCAGGAAGTTACTTTCGTTTTAGAAACCGTTCATTTTAGCCAGCTTATTCGAATGCAAAATCTAATAAACTCAGAGATGTGGAATGTTTAAGTTAATTAATATACCAGTGAAACATAAGCAACAAAAATAGAAGAAAGTTGACAAAAGAAATCAATGCTATACAGATGTTATGAGACCCAATGATACGACATGCCTATCAAATCCTGAAGATTTCATTAACGCTCTCAATGATGTGTCACCTTCCGTGACAAAAACAATATCTAATCTCGTATAGAACACACTTCCATTTCATTCATTTATCCTAAATAAATAAGTTCCTACTGACTAGACAAAATTCATTATGTTATCATTACTTATTATATGTCTACAATTTTTATTATTTATTATAGTTAGATTTCTACGTATGGAGTCCATTATGGAAATGGTAGCTTATCTCTTCTTCTTTTTATATGACTCTGAAATATTTACTAACATTTTTTTCGCTACCTACGGAAGACAAGAACGCATGACACCCTTACGAAGATGTTATCTGTTGGATCGACAAAAGACAATCAAACGAGATTCATCCTCTGGACTCTGGTTTCAATTGTTCTGACCACTTAGGTGAAAATTACATGTAACGGGTCTTCCAACAGGGACTTCCGAACTTGAATTTGATGATCTGAACCCAAACGAGACGTGGTTTCGACAGGACGGCAACACGTGCCACACAGCTCATGCCACATTGGATATTCTGCACGAACGATTTGAGGGCATGATCATCTCACATGGAGGTGATGTGAACTGGCCACCGAGATATGCGATTTGACGTTAGACTTTTTCTTGTGGGGTTCATAAGTCGCAGGTGTATGCGAATAAGTCACAAACTACAGCGGTCCTCAAAGCCAACGAAACCCATGCCATCGGTGTCCAATTTAGCCAGATTTATTCGCCCGAGTCATGGAAAATTGAATGTTTTGGATGCGTTCCACTCAGAGAAGCCGTGGCGGAGATTTACACATTTTGTGTGTAAAGATAGAAAACACTCAACGAAATACCCTATATAATAGTACCACATTTTATCATTTCTATAATTTTATGTCAGTAATTTTCTCAAAATAGAGTGAAAACGATAGTCATGACGTCACCAATATTTGATATGGAACTGGGAATACTGTATTGCATATGATTTTCGTGTATTCTTGTTGTTCTGACTGTTCGTGCAACATGTTGCCAACATGTTTTTGAGGTCGAATTAACGGTTATTTGTTCGAGACATATTTGATTGAGTATGGTACTAATTGAATAGTTATCTCGTTATCTGCTTTACAAAAATAATGAACATTTTGAATTGTTGTTAAAGAGGGATGGGGGGGGGAGGGTGTAAGTCTCAATTGTAGTGACGTTACAGTCATTTTCGGATTTCTTTCAAAATGGAAAAATTTGGGAGTTACTTCTTGATGAATAAAACATTTTCTTGAAGAACTTCAATTTTTTTCAATAAGTATCAACGTGAATTCACAATCAAGTATGACATTATCTATGTGCCCTATACCGAACAGTAATAACCACATCCTTTATTTTGTTATTGATAACCCCCTTAATTTCTGAACAACTTTCATTAATTGAAATAAAAGCCCACATTCCGCCGGCGACTCTGAAATCAGATTAAACGGTACCATCGAATTGGGTCAACGTAAATTTAGGAGAATCGTTAATGAAAGAATGTAAAACGAAAATTTATAGTCGATTCGGCACACCACCACATACAAAAATCACATATAATTTCAGACCCGCTTCGTGAGCTATCACAATCCGAAAATATCGACGAATGATGAATCGACTTGACCGCATTTACCTTGCGAAGGTAATCGCTTGGCAAATCTATCCATCTGGTCGACTTACCCAAGGTGAAAGACTATTCAGGGATTTCAGGTGGATTTCCGAAGAGGTTGGTTAATTCTACGATCAGTTTTCAATACGGGTTGTAAAAATGAACGAAATTGGCTTGCAAACTGATACTTCAGGCGATATAGTCAAATCGTAGAATAAATCTGAAGGGGGTCGTTGCCAAGGTTGAGACTATTTGAATCATTATGATTTGACCACGGTTATTTCCTTCGAACTGATAACATATTAGAAAAAAATTGAAAGCTAGGCCACCAAAAGTTTTATAGCGATGAACCTGACAGACATCTAAGTGTCATTATTCTTCAATCATACGTGGCTTTCAGGGCTTAGTTATGCATCACATAACTTCAATCACTGTCAGTGTCCTAATCAAATTGAACCAATAAAATTAAAATTCAAATATGAATGTAACTGAATTTCAAAATTTTTTTATAAATGCTTCTTTATAAAGAAACTGTTGATTCTGTTTTTCAGATTCACTCTGTAGTAGGATCGACAATATTATAGAAAGTAGATAAAAATATAATTTGATTTACCTTGTGACTGTTAATTGGCTGCAGTAAATAATAACATATCGTGATAACAAGTTAACATTAGATTTATATCAGTTCTCATATTTCACAATAAATCATTATAATTGATTGTTTATACAGAAATATATTTCAAA